AACTGGTTTGACTCAGTGGATAGAACGTCGGCCTGAGAACTGAAAGGTCCCAGGTTCAATTCCAGTCAAGGGCATGTACCTTGGTTGCGGGCACATCCCCAGTAGGTATGAAGGAGGCAGCTGATCGATGTTTCTCTCTCATCTGATGCTTCTAACTCTCTGTCCCTATCCCTTCCTCTTTGTAGAAAATCAATAAAATATATTTTTAAAGAAAATGATAGCAATTGTTTAAAAAACAAAACAAAAACAACCCTTCAACTCCTTTTCATGTGGGACTGACCAAACATCATGATCATGTAAATTATTTCTCATAGTGTGAGTGTTTCCCAAAACCCAAAGAGCAGCACAGTTTTACTCCCTTGACAAGAGAAATCCAGTATGTCAACTTAGAAAGAGATCTATAGACTCTGACAATCAGGTGAAGGAAGAGGTAAGCCTGTCCCCCTTATGGAATTAGGAGCCCAGGTTGTATTCCTGACTATAAGGAACAGCCCAAGTCTACTTGAAGAACCTGCTAGCAGAGCCACCGCTGCTAAGTGCATTCACGTTAACTCACTTTAATCTGGTTAGAGAAGTTTGTGGCAGCCTAAACTTTCGTTATTCTACTGAGGTCCCTCAAATGCTTCTGTGTTCTCTCTTATCCCTAGATGACCGCAACACAGGTAAGCCTGTCACCAGAGCTGTAGGCGGAGACGCATCTGTCACCTGTGTGGTTGTCCAATAAAACTAAAGGAGACACATCATAAGTGAACACACTAAGACAAATGGCTTTTCAGGCCGAAGGCTTAAAGGCCTTATGCAACAGCCATGAATGACTGCACTTCTAAGGGGCCTTTGGCAGAATGGATTCTTCTTGCAATCAACTGACAGGAAAATTTTCATCCCAAGAGGCAGGCAGGTGTTTGCAACAAAGAGATTTAAAAAATAAAATAAAATAAAATAAAATAATTGCCGAAACCGGTTTGGCTCAGTGGTAGAGCTTCGGTCTGTGGACTAAAAGGTCCCAGGTTCGACTGTGGTCAGGGGCATGTACATTGGTTGCAGGCACATCCCTGGTAGGGGGTGTGCAAGAGGCAGCTGGTTGATGTTTCTCTCTCATCGACGTTTCTAGCTCTCTATCTCTCTCCCTTCCTCTCTGAAAAAAACCAATAATATATATATAATAAAATAATCAATAGCAAATACTCATACACATATACTCGCTCCCAAGTAGAAAGTCAAGGCAGATGCCAATATGAGACCTAACTCTTTGCCAGAAAACCCACTGTCCTATTCTTCCTGGAATCAAGGCCTTACCCCAAGAAGAGGCCCTTTGGTTAGTGATATAGGCAAGACTGGGTGGGGGCCACCCTACTAATTTCGTATATTGAAAGTTAAGCATGGAGCCCTGGCCAGGTGGCTCAGTTGGTTGGAGCGTCCCAGACAACAAAAGATTAAAGGCTGCAGGTTCTGTTCCTGGTCAGGGTACATAGGGGAGGCAACCAATTAATGTTTCTCTCTCACGTCAATGTCTATCTCTCTCTCTCTCTCTTTCCCTCCCTCCTTCTCTCCCTCCCTCTCTAAAAATAAAAACATGTCCTTGAGTGAGGATAAAAAAGTAAGTTAAAAAAAAGTTAAGCATGGAAAGATGATACCAAAATATATTTAAAAAAAACCTTTTTCAAAGACCTGTCCCAGACACTGCAACCCCTTTATAAAGAGAGACCGGGGCATGAGGTCAGACAGAGAAATGGAGGTCTTGATCCTCATAGAAAACAGCCTGACACTGTCCATGATTCATGAAGCCGCCTCTCTTTAGGGTCCTGATTGCAGCTTCGACAAACCAGCTGCTAGGCTGCTTTAAAAGTAACCGCAGCTTTTTTGCTGTTAAAAAATCAACTTTCCTAAAAGCCAGAGCTGCTTGCATCTTTTCAGTGGACAGAGAAAAACCACGTGGCAAGGGCAGAAAAGAACTTTAGGACAGTGATTACCGCTGGGGCGGCAGAAGGAAGGAAAGGGCTGGAGAGGAGGGAGGTTAAACGAATCTGCCTAAAAAATAGAGGCCTGAAGTAAATATGTTTAAACGTCAAGATTTGTTCAATCTGCCAAAACCGATTTGGCTCAGTGTATAGAGCATCAGCCTGTGGACTGAAAAGTCCCGGGTTTGATTCCGGTCAAGTGCACGTACCTTGGTTGCAGGCACATCCCCAATAGGGGGTGTACAGGAGGCAGCTGATCGATGATTCTCTCTTTTATCAATGTTTCTAGCTCTCTATCCCTCTCCCTTCCTCTCTGTTAAAAATCAATAAAAAATATATTATTAAAAAAAAAGATTTGTTCAATCTGGGTGATGGGAACCTGGAAATTTATTACACAGGCATCTATTTTTAAATGTTTCTGCACGTCTGAAGTACTTTATGATACAAAAAAAAAAAAAAAATTGAAGTAATGGGTGTTAAAGTCCAATCACCCTGCTTTGATTAAGTGTAATTGCCAAGCAACACAATAAATACACACAAGCCTCCTGGGAATACTCAAAGGCAAGATAACACACACTAAAGTTAGAACCCACTTTGTAGTTTTCTATTTTATCACCCAATAGCCTTTTGATATTAATCTTGTTAACAAAAAGCACATCCGTGTGCATTTATCTTTTGCCAAATAAAACGCATGCCCGTATTTGAAGTTTTATTGAAGGATATGTAGTAGTATGTGAATGTGCACTTGCTAATATAAATGAAAAGTAAACAGCAGGAGGCATGGTAAATACAACAGCCTGAGTTTTAGCGCTCAAGTTCAGTGGGATCAAAGAGTAAGTGACACGTTCTGTTTGGGGTCCAGAGAAAAACTGCAGGATTTAGGCCTGTGCTAACAAACACAGATGCTGCCACAGAGAGAGAGAACTGAAAATATCCACAGGATTATTCTTGAGGATTCTCTACCAAATGATCCATACCAATGATGGGATGACAGCCATTTAATGCCAACCAAGCATCATTGGGCCTTGTCCCAGTTTTTCCCCAAGTATTTGCTTTGGTACATCTATATTAATAAAAGGGTAATATGCTAATTAGATCAGACGTCTTCCAGACAACCATCCAGACGTCCTTCCTGACAAAGCTGGGATAGGAGAAGCCTCCTGCCCCACAGTCCCAGGCATCAGTGCCTGCGGCTGCAGCCTGGGAGAGGGAGAAAAGCTGCCCGCCCTGCGGTCCTGGGCACCTGTGGCTGCGGCTCAGATAAAGCCACCCACCCACTGTCTCTTGTGGCTGTGCCAGCCCAGGTTCCAGGTGCCTGTGGCCCGCCAGAGGAGGGAATCCTGGGTCCCAGGTGTGGAGCCAAGGCAGAGGTGGTTAGGGGCAATCAGGCAGGCAGGCAGGCGAGCTATTAGAAGCCAGCGGTTCTGGATTGCGAGAGGCAGTGGGACATCCCCTGGGGGGTCCCAAATTGGAGAGGGTGCAGGCAGGGCTAAGGGGCCCCCTGCCCCTCTGTGCACAAATTTTGTGTACCAGGCCTCTAGTATATATATATCATGAGACCATTGAATTGGCATATGTGAGTAGGTGTTACCACTTCACCACATGTAAACATCACAGAAGTTACAAACCATTAGTTTAGAAGCCAGGTCAGGCCCATAGATATTTTATTGGGCCCACACATTGTTTTTAAAACTTGAATTAGAATAATGCTCATAAAAGTCTGGATTTCTATTTCCCCTTTTCTAAGTATCAGAAGATTTGGCAGCACTGGGTAGGGTTGAGCTAAGCGCCAGCTGCTCCATTTGTAGAAGGCCTGTTTAAGACAGTCCCCACACTCCCCATCCCCACACACACCGGCATCCCTTGCTCACACTACTTGTCCTGGTCCTGCAGGCATTTTAATGTGACTTGATACTCAGGGTGCCACGCTGCGGAGGCAGTGGAACTGGGTGGATTCTCCTTAGAACCAAATTCAGGGGTGGGAGAGGGACAAGGAGGAAGAGACTGGTTTCTAGAAGTCTGAATTCTAAAACAGACTAGAAGAGGGGGGGAAGAGCCTGAAGCAGAAGATATCCCCACCATCAACGTACACTCATCTCCACAGTCTTGTTTCTGAGCACCAACCCACGTACACAGCTCCTTTTCTGACGTTGCTAGGTTCCCTGCAAAGATGAGATCCCTGACTCTGCATGACACTCATGTCAGCTTAAAACGCACCACTGCCCTCATACCGCCTGAGGACTCACAGAGGTGTGCTGGCTTGTTTCTTGATGCAACGCAGGCCTCCAACAGCCAAGCCAGCCGTGGGAATGCCTTTCCACTCGGTAATCCACCGGAAGCCCACAGAGGCTGTGCCCATAGCAGGTAAAGGAAGCATCACACTGTGACATGCGTTAAGCCAGGAGGAATAGAAGTTATGGCTGGAAACAAAAGATGTCTGATGCCAAGAGGAGAAATCACTCATCAGGACAAAAGTCAGCGTGGAGCCACTCCCACAGAGAGATGGAACAGAACGCCATTCATTAATCAACTTAAAAAAACAAACAAAAAACAAATGTGTCTACATCCAACAAGATTTCCAGGGAAGCTCTCTAATAAGCTCCCGATTGTGCACAGAGATACACACATACACACACACACACACACACACACACACACACACAAATGTGTATATATAGCCATAATTATAATCAAGTTCAAGAGAGATTAACTTACCATTACATATACACTATATTAAAAAAAAAAAAAAGAAAAGAAAAAGAAAGAAAAAAGAAGAGATACTGGATAGAAAGAGTTTCCAGAGTTCATAGTATATCAGTCCTGAGGCACTTTATCACAACCCAATTTTCCTAATCAGCATGGTCAAAGTTCATAGTCTCACATGTGCCTGAGAGGTTCGAGAAACACTGCACAGTTGAAGAAGAGTCTCACTCCTTAGAGGTACAGGACTACTGGCAGAAAAAATGTAAAACTACATTCCCGCCAAATGTACACAACTCAGCGTTCCCTCCTCTGCAGACAGAAGAGAAGGCAAACACTCACCGCAGAGAGCTGGCTCCATGTGGACCGGAGTGGCTTGTGCTGGATCACAATTTTTTCTTCTGACTTCTGCTCTTTGGGCTCAGACTCTTCATCAGAGTCAATGTCAAGGGCCTTTTCTTTGTAGTTCTGGTACAGGACAGCGTTTTCTGCAAGAAAAGCCAACCCAACGTGTCATCATGATGCTACCTGTTCTGAGCAAACATCCACATCTATACAAGGCTGAGTCTCCGGGTTAATAAATGACGAAGGGACAAATGGATTTTGTCACTAAAGAGTATTCCAATTGCTAAAAGGTGATTTTCTCACCCACACAGCCCTGTCCCAAATCCATCCATAGGGAAAAGGGAGGGCCCCTACATGAACTGCCAAGTAATGCAAAATCCCCATGTCACTGCACTACCCATGAAGGGTAGTCATACCTGCTAAACGGATTTTTGGGTTAAATTGAATCCACACCCTACCTTCCCTTCAAGGTCCATCGACATCCATTTACCTACGTAACAAACATTTACTGTACACCCACAATGTGCCAAGGACTGGGAGCAAATAGAAAGTTAAAGACACTTCTCGTGCCCTCGTGAGCTAAAAGTTTAAGGAGAAAAACAGTTCAAGTCGCTCATTCATTTACTGGTTTAACTGATATTTAGAAAATGCCTACTAGATACCAAGAATTGCTAGACACTGGGGATGCAACAGTGAGCAGAAAATAGGAAAGTATCAGTCTTCATGGAGCTGACATCAGAGTAAAGGGAGAGTGACAATAAATAAATAAATAACGTAAAAATATGTCAGATGCTGCCCTGGACAGTGCGGCTCAGTGGGTTGGAGAGTCACCAGTATACTGAAAGATTGCGGGTTCAATTCCCAGTGAGGGCACATCCCTAGGTTGTGGGTTTGATCCTTAGTCGGGGCATGTATAGAAGGCAACCAATTGAAGTTCTCTCTCTCGTTGATGTTTCTCTCTCTCTCTCTCTCTCTCTCTCTCTCTCTCTCTCTCTCTCTCTCAAACCAATGAGCATATCCTTAGATGAGGATTTAAAAAAAAATGTGTCAAATGCTGATAATGGTCATGGCGAAAAATAAAATAAGGAAAGATAGGGAATGTTATGAGGGAGGTATACAGATTTTAAATAGGGTAATTTAAGAAGGCCTCCTCCAAGGTGACATTTAGGCAAAGACTAAAGGTGAGAAAGCAAGCCACCATTCTACAGGGGAAAGAACATTTTATCAGCGGGAACAGCAAGTACCAAGGCCCTGGGGCAGGAGGCCTGCGTAGCTGGAATAGGATGAGGGAGGAAGAACGTACAGAAGATGGGAGATTGGGGATGAATAAAGGGCAGGCCATAGAGGGCCTGGCCTCAATGCCATTAAGAGAACTTGAGTGTTTTCTGCAAGTGGAAGGCAAGTCACTGTAGGATTGAGGACACAATGAATTTGTACAAATACAGACCAACACAGGGAGAAATTTATATACAGGTAACTCTGAGAAAAGACTGCCAGCTGCGTGTGATCTATCTAGTCTGAGGGGGAGAGGTGTCCGTGAGGAAAATCTAAGACCAGAAAGCTGAGAGGCCACAGAGCTAAAGGAAAAAGTATATGCAAAAGTCCTGAGGCAAGTGAAATACAGTTCCTTATAGGAACTAAGGCAGGTCGACGTGCCTTAGTGGATGTCTAGAGAACAAAGGGTACAAGCTGTGTGTAGGGAGAGGAACCGGACAGTCCAAATCAAGCAGAGCTTTGCAAGCTATTATATTTATTTTATTTTTTTCCTTTCATCTATTTTTTTTAAATTTAGTAAATCTTTATTGTTCAGATTATTACAGTTGTTCCTCTTTCTTCCCCCCATAGCTCCCCTCCACCTGGTTCCCATCCCACCCTCTTCCCATTGTCCTCATCCATAGGTGTACAATTTTTGTCCAGTCTCTTCCCGCACCCCCCACACCACTTTTCCCCAGAGAGTTGTTAGTCCACTCCCTTCCTAAAGAACTGAATTTTATCCTAAGGACAAAAGGAATGAGCTTCTTTCACACTGTATGGATTGTATTATGCTAAGCCTAAATGATGCATCCATTACAATGCTTTTGAAAAACTAGACCTGGTCGGGTGGCACAGTTGGTTGGAGCATCATCCCATACACCAAAAGGCTGTGGATTCAATTCCCAGTAGGGGCACATATCTAGGTTTTAGGTTCAATCCCCGGTTGGGATGCCCCCCCCCCCAAAAAAAAAAAAAAGATTGTATTTTGATCCTGATTGCCATGGGAACCCACTGAAAGGGAAGATTTTATTAGATCTTTAGGGGCAAAACACTAACTACGTAGGGACTCATGAGGATGCTACTGAAGTAGTTGACGAAAGACAACGGAGCTTGGCCTATGCAACTGAGAAAGAACTAGAAGTGGACTGACATATGGGCTTGGAGAGAGGGAGGTGATCAGCTGTGTCCTACGTCTGCAAGTCCCACAACAAGAAGGTAGGAGAGGGAAACACCAGGAGAGATTTAGCGACAGTAGGGAAGGTTAGGAGTTTCGTTTGGGACACAGAGTTTGAAAACCCTTTCCATCTACTGAAGCAAGGAAAACATCTGCCTCTTTATTGGACATCAACTATTCCATGTCCTACATGACTATAATAAAGGAATACTAGACCTATGGAAGATTGCACTGGTCTCTGATTGCTCTGCATGTACAAAACAAATTGTGAAGGTAATGACTAAGTTTCCCCCACCTCCAGTGCTATTTCAAGTAGTTAGTGGTTGGCACAAAACATACGCAAGCATTGCTGAAGCGATTTCTCATTCCCTCCCACCACAGCATTGGTAGCGGTAATGCTAACGTCATTGTACACCTGGTGAAATCAAGCCTTGGTGAGGTGAAGGTGCCTGCTCAATTATACCTCAAATGATGAGGAAAGCAGTAGGAGAGGAACCCCAGGCCCTTGGGTCCAACGTCACAGGTTCTCACCGCTATCACACGGCTTCCCAGGTTTTATTCCTGTTAATCATTAACTGTAAGAATACTGCATTCCTCAAGTACATATAAGTGAAAAAGAATGTCTAGGTCATCCTACTTGGAAAGAGATGAAAGCGTGCACAGAAACATGGTTCCTTATAAACAGAAACCATGTAAAACTAGTTATAACAAAGGGTGTGATCTATTCCAGGGGTGATCTGTTCTTGTACAAAAAAAAAAAAAAAAAAAAAAAAGGGCTCAACGTTTTAATCCTTTGAGGCAAAGGCCCCAGAATCAATGCCAAATTCCAAAAGATGAAAAATATCTAAGTCGATATTAGGTAGATGCTCTGATCACTTCATGTTCAAAACATGGTACCAGAGGAAGCACACTGGACCGAGAACCAGACCTCTGTCCCAAGGCTGGCTGTGTGCCCTCCACTGTAAAACCAGGGAGACAAATTCATCGTCAACAGGTACAACACTGCATCTGGGTTTCTTTTTCTTCATATAGAATGCTTCCTGATATTGGTGCAATGAATAAATTTTCATAAACCAGTCATGTTTAAATACTCCAGTGAGAATGATTTTTATATAGGGAAACAATTGATAATCACCAAGGTTATATGTTTTATAACTCTGGGTGGTTCTACATTAGATTTACTTAGCAGCATACCCTTCTTCATTATTCTTTATCTAGAGGCCCCAGTGCATGAAATTCATGCAACGGGAAGGGAGTTCCCTCAGCTCGGCCTGCTTTCCGATCTGGGACTCCTCAGGACCTCTGGCTCCTAACCTCTCACCTGCCTGCCAGCCTGATCCCCCTTACTGCTCTCCCCTGCTGGCCTGATCCCCCTAACTGCTCTCCCCTGACAGCCTGTTCGTCCTAATTGCTCTCCCCTGTTGGCCTGATCACCTCTAACTGCTCTCCCCTGCCTGCCTGATCGCCTCTAACCTCCTCTGCCTTGGCCCCGCTAACATGGCTGTGTCTGGAAGGACACCTGGAAGGTCGTCTGGAAGATGTTCAGTCTAATTTACAATATTACCCTTTTATTAGTATAGAAGATTGGAAAATCTAAGCATTGTAAAGCATGAAAGAAGGGAACTAACCTCACCTCTACCACCCTCCACCAGCCCTACAAGGGGTGCAGCTGGGGCTGCTGCTCCTTTCATGCTTTTCCAGTTGGCTGACATTTGACCCATCTATTTACACAAAGCCCACTAATCTGATTAGGGTTTGAACACCTGGCCGAAGCTGCTTTTGTTTTTGAAACTCTTAATGAAAATACTATATGGGTTACAAATGCTTAGGGATATGTTTCCATCGGCCAGGAGTTAGATTTTCCCCAAACAGACACTTGGTAAGGAAACGGGAAGTCAGAAATAAGACTAAAATGGGGAAAGAATATTCAGTCAAAGGAAATATGACCTAGGGGAAAAAAAGACTTAAGATCTAAATGCCAAACTCTCATATAATTTTTGACTAAAGAGCTAGAGCTTGCTCTTACTCTTTCTCCATTTTTTTTTTTTTTTAAAGGAAGGTGGGGGATAGAGCCAGAGTGGAAAAGAACTCAATATCCCAGGACATGGGCTCACAAAGTTATCAGCTTACAAAGAAAGCTATTGATTTTATTCACTGCTGGTATGACCAGATAAAAACTTAGCTGAGTGAAGAAGTGCTTTGTGCCGTATAATTTTGAGAAGCTGCACATTTTCCTCATCCTAAGTGTTGTTGTTACTGCAGCTGGATTGGAACGTATAATTGATATTCCACATTGAAACAGCAATAAAAGTCTGGAAAAATCAAATGCTTACCTTCCCCATCAAATGGTCCTTGTCCTTTCAGCACTTTTTTCTAAGAAACAAGAAAAGCAAAAAATGGAAAAGGCAAAGCATAATGTAGATGAATGAGCCAGATTGAAAACACAGCTATTTAAGAAAAAGTACTTATTTTGTTGTTACATTCATTAGATTTCCCAAAGCATACAGCTGATGATCCCTGGAGTGGTTCGCTCATAGGACTAACGACAATTCACTAAAACAGTGAAATATTGTAAAATGTACAATGTCCCTCACACCCTGTGGAAATAGTTTGAGAATCCTCAAATGACCAGCAGACTCAGTTATTTATGACTCACCATCACTGTTAAACTGAACTTTGCTATACTTGCAGGGTTGTGGGGGATGGGGGGGGAAGAAGGGAAAAACAAACATAAAACGTTATGTAATTTCTCGAAGGCCATAAGATCGAAAATAAAGCATGTTTGCTTGTGTGTTACATGTGTGACAATCATACAGAGACTGGTTCCAGTCCTCTGATTAATCAAGAGATGTCACTCCCAACATGAGTGTCTGCCCTATTGCCCAGGTCCACCTTATTTCTGAAGATGACAGCACACGCACACTCCAAATTCCCTTTCTCTGGTTTTCCCTATTTCTTTCTGTCATATTTGGCTTGTTTTTTTTTTTTTGTTTGTTTGTTTTGTTTTGTTTCCCCAATTTCAGCTTTCAGGCCTTTATCAGGGAGCAATAACACATAGTTCACGGGAACCTGAAGTTTTGTTAAGTGCACTCAAGGATAAAATGGGCACAAAACAGGAATGAAATACAATCAAAGGCCGAGCTGACAGAAACCAGTAACAACAAAGATGACATACTATCTGCGCCTTTTGCGCCTTGTTTTTCTGGCACCTAATTTTAACATTGCATTTTATCTTTGGTCTTTCGTATGTGATGGCCATTCAAATAAATAAATAAATAAATAAATAAATAAATAGTTAATATAAAGTAATCAATGGGTTCAAAGGAAATCAGCTTTCTCCCTAATCAGCTGAGATGAATCAGCAACCACTGACTGACACCTCTAAACAAGCACCAGACAGCTTGGCCAAAGTCAAGAGTGGAAATCCCGCCCTGCTCTCCAACCCTTTACCTGTGTTAAAAGTGCTCAGGACTCATGCAGCCAATCAATACCTCATTTTCCGTATCCTCCCCCCCCCCCCCCCCCCCATTCGTCCCAGATTTTGCCTAAGCTTAGAAAGTCAACCCAGTGATCCGAGTTTCCCTTTCTCCCACAAGGCTGCGTGAACTAAGTGCTGTGCCTGCCAACAATACAGCGGCCAAGAGATACCTGTGCACAGGTTTCCATCAACAAACAACAGAATTAAAGGGAACGATACCGTCTGATTTCCCCCCGCGTCCCTCCTTCCCTATCTATCATCCCCAACACCTTCCCTTTGGACTTTAGTGGCATGGCCCACTCTTACCTTTATCCTTCCAAGGCTGGAAAACTTCTCCTTGTCTTCCATCACCACTTTCAGGATCGGCTGGGACATCCTGTTCTTCTTCTTGGAGGCGGTCGGGCTGTCAAAATCCACGCCGCTGACCACGGCCCTGCGGTAGGACGTGGAGCGCAAGCCCCTGCGCAGAGAGCCCGGGCTGTCCAGGTCGTTGTCGGCCTCGCCCTCGTCCTCGGAGGGGCCCCCCAGGGACGCCCCGAGGCCCTCCACCATGCTGCGCACCTTGAGCAGTCTCTTGTGGGGCTCCGCATGCTGACCGCTGCTTTTGCTTAGTTTAATTTCCGAGGCCAGGCTCTTGGGGATTATCTGCTGCTTCCCCACCTTGAGGGCGGCCGGGCTATGGGTGCTCAGAACCACCGAAGAAAGGGCCTCCGCCCCCGGGAGCTCGTTGTCCTGGGAAGGCAGCCTTTGGAGGGGGAGTTTTTGTTCCAAAGACCTGTTCTGGGGAGAGGGTCTCCGCTCGGGGTCCTTCGCCGTCTGGCCGGATTGCAAAGGGGAGTCGATGTTTCCAGCAAGCCCGTTTGCAGCAACGGGAGGAGGAGGCAGGGGGCTGGCGGGCAATCCGACCACCGGGGCTCCCTCGGGGCTGCACGGGGCCGATGCCTTAGGGGAAGGCGGGGGGCGCAGGCGCTGCGGCGGCGGCGAGGGCGAAATCGCTGTCCCGTTCTCAGGGGGGGATTTCGGGGAGCCGCCCAGCGCCCCCCTGGGGGTCTGCGGGGACTTCAGGCGCCAGAGCCGAGGAGATGCAACCCGGTACTCCGGGGACACCGTCCTCCCGTTGGCCACCGCCCTCCGATGGGTGCACAGGAGCAGGGGGCTCCTCGGGACCGTCGTCCTGCCGTCCGAAGCGGTGGGCGCCTGGGAGGGAGTCTGCTGCGCCTCCAACGGGAACGGTCCTCGGTCCTCCACCGGGAAATCCGTGATCAGCAAGCCGCTCGGGCTCTGGTAAGACTGGGGTCTCGGCTTGCTCCGGCCCGGCATCTGCGGCTGGGGGGTCGATCTCCTACGCCACGAAGGGGTTAAGCTGCTGCTGGAGACATTCACGCCGCTCTGGCCGTCCATCGCGCCGAAGCCGGCCCGCGGGTGAGCCCCGCGAGGCACAGCACCCAGCTAGCGAAGCCGAAAGAGGGGGAAGAAGTTCATGGAACTTTGACTCCAGACAACCCAAGACGCGCGCTCCGAGGCCCGCGGGCACCCCGCCGCGGCGCGTCACTCACCCGCCCTCTCCAGGGCAGCGCCGCGCGCTCCGCGCTGCACGATCCGGGGCGAAATCCGGGACGAAATCGGGGCTGCGCCCCCGCGGACTCATCCAATCACCACCTCGTCTCTCTCCTGAGCCCAAAAGACCACCCGCGCGGAAGGAGTTCGCCCCCAAAGCGCCGGGCGCCAGCTGATGCGCAGGAAACTTGGGAGAAGTTCAGCTTCCTTGGGAAACTCGCCTCCGGACGCTCCGCGCGGCCGCCACCGCCGCCATCCAGCCAGCCACCCGCCCCAGTCGCTGGTGGCCTCGGGTGCTCTTCCAGCTGCCCGGCTCCTGGGTGGGTGATTTCCCTTCAGGGCTTTTTGCAGAGCTGGAGCCTAGCAGGGCCCACCGCCCCGTGGGTGGCCCCGGGACCGGACCGTGGCGCCGCGGCGGGAGCTCTGCGAAGCTCGGCGGCCAACAGAGACTCCGGCCCCGCCCCCGGCCTCGGCCCCGCCCCCGTCTTGGCCCCGCCCCCGACCAGGCCCGCCCCCTTCGCGGCCAGCAATCAGACCCTGGCTTCCCCTGCTCCACGCGCGAGCCTTTGATCACGCCGGTTCTCTGTTTTAAAACCGATCGCACACCTGGGCTGGGTGCCCAGGGAAGGGGTTGCAGGATGGCAGCTGGGGCTGCAGGCGGTGGGGCGGCCGGGGCCGCGCGGGCGGGGAGGTGGGCCGGCGCGCAGCGTGGGAAAGCGCGGGGGATCCCTGCTGAGATGCACTGGACGAAGCCCCAAGCCCCAGCGGATCTCGGGCGCAGAAACCGGGAATGCCAGGCAGAGGAGGGTTTGCGAAATGAATGGGTGAGCTGCAGGGTGCAGCTCCTCTGAACGCAGAGAGCCGGTCCATGCTAGGCGTTCCGGGTAGTCTTAAAGCAAATCCGATGGCCTCGCTCTCCTGCTGAAAGCATCTTGTAAGAGAGACTCATAGATTCGCTTGTTTGTTTGTTTGTGCCTAGTGTATTTCTGGGGGCATCCACGCAGGCCGCTTGGGAGAGAAACTGTGTGGCTAACCAAACTAGGGAGGGAGAGTTTTTCATTCAAACATCTTTGAATCTGGTGTGTTTTGAATCGTGGATGTTATCTATTAAGGATAAACGCAATTAAAATTACAGGGAGCGGGTGGGGAGGGAGGAGGATTGGTTTCCAAACATACATGGAATAAAAGTGAAAATCTTCTCTCTGGCTTAGGAAGACCCTGCATTCTGTGCCTTCCTCTTTCCCCATCACTTTTTCCTTCACGAATCTTAGTCCACACCCACTTAAAAGTTTTACAGCCCCAGAGAACCTTCCCTTTTGTTCCTTCTGTCTTGTCACTCCATCAGAGGCCTTCCTTTTTATACACTTATCACACATATTTATGCACACACACATTTTTGTGGTTTTGTTTATCTGTTTTTGTCTTTAGATTGTATGATGCTGCTAGAGGGCAGGGGTCATGCTTATGAATTGCTCTTCTGTATTCCAGGCACATAGCAGGCACTTACTACATATTTGTTGAATGATTGAGAAGTGAAGCGAGGACAGTGACCATCCCTTCCAGGGTGTTCCGTGGCCAAATAGTAGAAAGTTGGCTGTGTCCTGGCCAGCCTCCTGCGATCTGGGAAGAATAGAACAAACTTGAGAAGACAAATGATTTATACACCATAAGAACTGTATAATTAATTCTGTTAGCAAGACAAATGGGCTTTTCTCCAAGTTCTCTTTCAGCATTCATGCATTCAGCAGGGATGTAGTGAGCGGCCACTGTGTGCACGTTAGGCTGCTTGTTTTTGCCCTACATACGTTGAATGTAATGGCCAAAAATATTAAGAGGAAATCTCTGGGTAATGAGAGCATGATGTTTTTCTTGCTTCTTTATGTTTTTGGTTTTTTTTGTTTGTTGTTTTTTTACTTATCAAATGCTGTCCATTGATTACATATTACTTTGATCTGAGATTGTTTTGTAAACTAGAAGAAATGGCAACAGAAATTTTATAAGAAAAAAAAATTTAGTAAGAAATTTACCAAACGTTGTTTGGAAGAAATATGGTTGAACACACTAATGCATGTCCACTTTTTAATATAGAATATTTTCCATACATTTTATTTTATTTTGTTAGTAAAATGTATTTTTATTGATTTCAGAGAGGGAGAGAGATATATAATAGAAATATCAATGATGAGAGAATATTGATTGGCTGCCTCCTGCACATCCACCCCACAGTGGAGATCAAGCCCACAACCCGGGGATGTGCCCTGACTGGATATGGAACTGTGACCTCCTTGTTCATAGGTTGATGCTCAACCACAGCCATGCCAGCTGGGCAAAAGAGCGATTTTAGACTTAGCCATAGATTTTCCAGTAATTGCGTATATAGAAAAGAAAAATATAAGCAACATAAGTGAAAGTATTTATAAAAATTCTGTACACTGAGTCTAATTCCTCTGAGTCCCTTTCTACCCAGGGCATCAGTCTATGTGTTTTTCAGCACACTATCACTAACAGTGCACCATTTCTTAAAAGGGTGTTCTAGCCTTGTCTCTGGGATTTGCTTCCCAGCCACTGACACTCTTTCTGCAAATTTGAGGCTGGCACTACCTTATTTGATGAAAAGCATAGTTTTCTTGTTCAATTGAATCATGTCACCACAAGCTATGCACATTCTCTATTAATGGCCAGAAGGAAGTTTCAACCCTTTCTCCATAGTCCTGTATGGTACATGAATTGGTTATATCAGCCTCGTGTTGCTTTGGAATTTCTTGAATCTAATATGACACATCCGGCAATTTCTGCTGCCTTGATTGCATTTCTCAGAATATATGGATCTTACACAGATAGCACTAAATTGCTTTGAACTCATTGGCATGATGGCACTTCAAGTAGCAATGACCATGTTCACAAATACTGAGGCAATGCCAACTACATCATGACTGCCACCTGGCCAATGGCTATTTTCTTAATGAGACATACCCCAGTTTCAGAGGGTGTCTAATTGTGGGACCAAAGTCTTTTTTTAGAACTGAAGAAATATTATATACAATACTGTTAGGAATTATATATTCCACTGGTATATTCCCATGCTATATATTTTTTATTTTATCTTTAAATTTTTTTAAATTTTAATTTTTTTAGTTTTCTTGAGATATGATAGGCATAGATCATCGTATTAAAGTATACAATATAATGAGTTGATGTGCATATATTTTGCAAAATGATTGCCACAATAAGTTTAGTTACTACCGTGTTTCCCCGAAAATAAGACATCCTCCAAAAATAAGACCTAGTTCATGGAAAGATAACACATCCCCTGAAAATAAGACCTAGTGCAACTTTGGGAGAAAAAATTAATATAAGACACTGTCTTATTTTCGGGGAAACAGGGTATCCAGTACCTCACATACTTATAAGTTAATTTTCTTTATGAGAACTTTCTTTAGGAGAACTTTTATGGTTTGATCTCTTATCAACTTTCAAATATACTCTGCAGTATTGTTAACTATAATTACCATGCTGTATATTACATCCCCAGAAGTTACTTACCTTACAATTTTTGGTCTTTATCTTTTGATCATCTTTACCCATTGCCCCATGATATATTGAATCATTAAAATATTAAATGGTATAATGCAGGATACCAGAGGCTGAGATACCAATTTTTGCAACATTTACCAAGCAAATTTGCATTGATCACTAATTTTGTGTCTGGCATAATAATTAGGCTAATCTGTAAGTGCAATTTAGCTCATTTTATTACCTTGCAGTTATAGCTCATGCATACTTTATTCACATATTTATTTTTTCCACAAATACTTATTAGATGCATGTAAGTGTTGAGCACTGGGCTAGGCCTTCCCAAAGCTCATAACCTGGCTGATTAGCTTCATTTAAAACATTATAATAATAACAAGACACCCAGGTTGAGTAAGGGACATGGTAAGATGAAAGCCTTTGCAAAGGGGTGTGGGTAGGACTGGGCTGGAAGAGTAGGTAAAGTATCGTGAGGTGGAAAAGAAGAAAAGGGTATCCCAGAGAGATTTCCCGACATGAGCAAAAAATGGGGGGGCATAGCTGGAGATATTTAAGTGCCAATTATATGTCAATCACTATTATTCATTACACATAATTTAATTTCACGTTAACTTATGTCTCAATTTAAATATGAAGGAGCAGAAGCTCAGAAAGCTCTTCTGTTGGTCAGTGGTTGAGTCAGAATCTGTTGGTCAGTGGTTGAGTCAGAATCTCAGATCTGTTGCCCCCTGAACCCAAGTGCTTCACAAACCAGACACCAAACTTTCAAGAACAGAGAGCTTGCATCTGGAAGTTGTGGGAGGCCAATATAGCTATAGTGAGAGTGGAATATGGTGTATGATAGAGTGAGGGATCTGGATTTCACCTGGATGGCAACTGACACTCCCTCTCTGAAGGTATTTAAGCTTTATTATCCTTTAAAATAATGAATCTGATGACACCAGTGTCAGAAATAAAAAGTGAAGGGAAAAAAAAAAGCAACAACAGATTTGGCAACTAAAAAACTTGTAATCATTGTGCATTAAGAGAAGCCACATAAACCCATAAAATCTGAGGGGAAATGTTCTCTTAGAGGGTATTAGAAAAAAAATATATATATATATATACAAAATATTAATATTTATAACATGCATAAATAAAAATCAATAGGAGAAAGATTAACAATGGAAAAAATGAGCAAAGAGTGAGAATATAGATTTTGAAAAAGACACAAGTATCCACCTACATAAAAATATACCCAACCCCAACAATTAAAACAACATTAAGACTATTAAAATTTATAATTTTTCATCTGTTAGGTTGACAAAGATTTTTTAAGTGAGAAGTAATATCTGCTGTTGGGAAAAGCGCAAGGAAAGAGTATCTGAATCGTCATTGATGGTAAGAATGCAAATGGGTACAACCTTTCCCTCCAGCTATTAGATGATTGTCAGCAAAACCCTGAAAACAAGCAAATCTTCAATCTCCTAATTTCATGCACAGGAAATGCTTATTGTGTACAAAGAAGTATGTTCAAGGATGTTCATCAAAGCACTTGGCAAAAAATTAGAAGCAGATCCGAGTTTATTGGCAGCCACCAAAAATATTAATGTAAAATATTAATAAAAGAATTCAGAATATGTGAAGTGATGTTTTTAAAAAGCTAGTTTAAACACATTCTGTGAAATGTCCTCCTTTGAGTTTTTAAAACTGCAAATACCTATGCATATATACTGAATACCTAGACTTTGAATATTTGAATTTTTAGCATGTCCACCCTCTGGCAGCAAAATTCAAGGTAATAATATTTCAGTTATGCTTTGCTGTGAAACAAGCCACTCCAATGCTTAGTAGCTTAAAATAGCAATTTATTATTTATTGTTTCTCATTATTCTGTGGGGATGGGGGTTAGGGGGTGGCAATGGTTCTTCTGCAGGTC